CATGCATACACACATGCACCTGCATGCACATACATGTATGCACATTCATAACCTATAAAGGCTAGTCATGGAAAGGAAGGAGGAGGGGAATTCTACCTATGGTCTCTGGGCTGTTCTCTCTCCCTGGGTGACAAGTTGTGCTGTGAAAGAGCACCTGAAGGGCCTCTCACTGTCTGAACTTAGGGGAATAGATCACCAGGCCAGGACTGAGCCTTCTTTTCAAATCCTAGCACGGCTTAGAGCCTTAGTCATACCAGTCTTAGCCCTTACCCAAGTAACCTAGGGAAACAGTCAAGATATGCCCCCACAGGTGTGTACTCTTTCTTCTTCTCTAAGTACCTTGTCACCAGCTCTGTATCACCATAGCTCCACTAGGCCCTGGTTCTACCACACCACCACTTTATAAAGTCTCACTCTTGCCTTCTTCCATAGAAGAATACAGGCTCTTTTCAGCAACCCTTTACATTTTTTCCACCCTCAGGTAAATTTTTCACTATTGGGTAATTTCTCATGCTGGAACAAAGCTCCAGTAGCCCCACCCCGGTTACGGCTTCTAATAACATTCTACTTTCATGCTTCTTCATGCTGTGAAGGTAATCTTGGATTTTACATATATATATGCATATACACACATGTGTTTGTGCAAATATACATGCATACAAATATACATGTATATCAATATACATGTATGCACACACACATATATATATACATATTTGCTTATACATAATTGTTTACATTTTGCCTTTTGCATTAGGCTGTGAGCTTTTTCAGAGTAAAGACTGTTGGTTGCCTTTCTTTGTATCCTCAGCACTTAACACAGTGCCTGGCACATGGTAAGTGCTTTATAGATGCTTGTTAACTTGGCTTGGAAGGTTATGCATAAGAGTGGAAAGTTCTGCCAAGCTGGAATGACTTTGAGGATGGGCTCAGCAACACACTTTCATATGAAGACCAAACTATGTTTAGAGAAGCTCAACACCAGAGGGCTGATGACCAGGGATTAAATTTAGGGGCAAAGGGAACCTGGCAACTCATGAAACCACCTACTGAGGTATGAGACTGTCATTTGTATTGGTGGAAAAAATACCCATACTGAAACAAAATCATAGTGCTTTTGATCATCATGAAGTTTTCACAACTCTGGCTTGGTAAGTGATTAGGAAGGCCTTTATGAAAGAAAAAACCCAGGTGAGTTTTAGTTATAGCAATATGATAGAAGGAAAGCAAAACATCTCAGATGTGCAAGGCAGTCCAGACAAGAAAAGACAGAGTTGGAAGAAGGATGAAGAAAAGAGGATTAATTTACTTAATTTTTTGGAGTTATGTGGTAGCAACAAGTGAAAGAGGGCCCTTTGGAGTTCATGGGAAGGGAAATAAAGATGATTTAGAGCAGAAGTACCAAACTTAAGGCTCACAGGCTTAAGCAACCCCCAAGTAGCCCATAAAACTCCCCAGTGTGTCTAGAATCAAATTAAAATGTAATTGAGAAATGTTTAACAAAATAAATGAAAATATAATATAACACAGATAATGTTGATTTGTGGTTTTCCAACTCAACACACAGCTTCAGGGATCTGTTTCTATCTGAATTTGACATCACTAATTTGGAGGATGAGTTGGAGCTTATGAAAAGTTCTAATAGAAGATATAGTGGGATAAACATACACATGCACATGCACATGCACATGCACACACATACACACACATATATATAGTCACACATATATACAAACACAAACATATACATATATACATACATAGATACACACACATACATGTGTGTATCTATGTACGGAAAGGATCAGACCTATGATGCCCTCCATGTAGGGAATTCCCAATGAGGAAATGCAAATCAGCTCTACTAAGTAACTTAGAGTCACAGAGGTTCACTTGCATTACTGGCCTGCAGTCACATATCCTATATGTGTCAGAGAAAAGACTGGAGACTAGGTCCCCCTGATGCAGGCCAGTTCTTTATGCTGTATCTTTTGGTAAATAGATAATCTTTTGGTAGTTGTGGGTATGATTAATTGGAAGGATGGAAATGAGGAGTCTCATAAAGACAACATTGTGACAGTTGGTCTGAGGGATAGATCACTCTTGGATTGAGCCCAAGGAATATATGAAGAATACAGTTCAGTAGCCTCGTCTGGGACACACCAATAATAATTGTAGGCCAGACTAGTGATTCAGTGACAACTTCTGCATCTGGTTGGCACTAGTTTTAGGGTGGAGAGATGATTTCACTTCTAGCAGGAAAACATCTGCCTGTATGTGGATAGCTTCAGAACAATTTGCGAAATCATCCCTAAGTAGAACACAGCTTAATTAATTCAACAAAAATTTATTGAGTGCCTACTTTGTGCAAAGCACTGAGGATAGAAAGGTGAAAAGAAAAATTACACCTCCCTACCCTTAAGAAACATGTACACAAATAACTGTAATGAAGAATTAGAAAATGATTAAGTAATTAGGAGATGTCAAACAGAGGCACCTGAAAGATTCGAAGATCACTTCTAGCTGGAAGGATCAAGGAAGGCTTCACAGAAAGTCTTTTATTTCCTTTATATCTTCCCCTATGCCTATCCTGGTGTTTCTCATATAGAGACTCTAATCCATCCTCCACTCTGTTGTCAAAGTAATCTTTCTAAAGCTCAGGTCTGACCATGTCACCCTCCTACTTGGTAAACTCTAGTGGCTCTCTGTTGCTTACAGGATCAGATATATAATCCTCTGGTTTTCAAAGCCCTTCATAATCTGTCCCACCCCTTACCTCTCCAGTCTTCTTACACCTTACATACAAATACTCCCTGCCCCCCACCCCCAACATTCCACATACTTGTGATCCAGTGACACTGGCCTCCTCACTCCTCACTCCAGACTGGCCTCCTTGCTTTCCTCCTCACTCCAGACATTTTCTGTGGCTGTCCCTCATACCTGTAATGTTCTCCCACCTCATTTCTGTCTCTTCGCTTTCCTGGCTTCCTTCAAGTCCCAGCTAAAACCCCACCTTCTATAAGAAGCCTTTCCTGATTCCCCCTTAATTCCAGTCCCTTTCTCCTGTTGGTCATTTCCAGTTTATCCTGTATATAACTCGTATGTACCTATGTTTGCATGTTACCTCCTCCAGTAGACTGTGAGGTCCCTGAGGGCAGGAAATGTTTTTTTTTTTTTTACCTTTCTTTGTATTCCCAGCACAGTGCCCATCACATAGTAGATGTTTTTTAAGTGACTGGACTGATAGAGGTATGATGGTGTAGTGGGATGAGTGTTAGACTTGGAATCAAGTCAATCTGGATTTGAATGTCATTGCTGTCAGTGAAATGATTTAGAGCTGTTACAGATCTCTAAGATGAACTAGTCCAAACCTTTCATTTTGCAGATGAGGTCCAGGCATACCAAATGATTTACTCAAGGTTACACAGGAAGTAAGTAGCAGAGTCTAGATGGGAACACAGGTCTTTGTGTTCCAAATTCAGTGCTCTTTCTGTTATAAAACAGTGTCTCCCTATTTTGTAGCCCTTCGGAAACAAGGCAAGTCACCTCATATCTCTGGGCCTCAGCTTCCTCACTTATAAAATGAGATGGATAGTACTCATTCTAATTGCTTCACAGAATTGTTGTCAAAAAAAGATAGTTTTAAATATGTAATTGTTATTTATTCTGAATTTAACAAACACCAAAAAAAAGAACATTTCCATATAAAAAATAAGAGGAAAAGATTATATGTGAATTTGTGTTACAGAGGGCTTGCTTTTTCAAATATATATAAAACTTCAATGTTAACTTCAAAGCTGTGCTACTTGTCTGTGTTTCCTGTTGAAGTTCCTTCAATTCTCTTTTAAAAATGCCTCAATGCCCCCTTTTTCTTTCTTCTCTCTCTCTCTCTCTCTCTCTCTCTCTCTCTTTCTGTCTCTTTTTTTTGCCAGTTCTATTGCTAATTCCACTCTTCCTCCCTAATTCCACCCCTCCATGAAAAGAAAACTGAAATCCTATAATAAATAAGCATAGTCAAGCAAAACAAATCCACACATGAGCGTGTATGCAAATGTCTTTCTCATCCTGCCACTTGGATCTTTCACACTTCTGTTGGGAGGCAGGCATCAAGAATGTGTTTTGTCAAAGTTGTAAAGAGCTATGGAAATGGGAGATATTACTGGGATGGGGTTTCTCAATAAAATACGTGCCCATTGACTTAAAGAATGAATTAATCTTAGATTAATCTAATCCAGCCAGACTGACTGGAATGCACAGTGGAAAGAGAGGTTGGCCTAAGAACTCAGGACTGACTACCTGTGTTTTCTGTCCTTCCTCTTACATAAACGGATGGTGTGACTGGGCAAGCCTGTTAACCTCTCAGGGCCCCTTATCAACTTTCTATGACTCAATTGCTGAGCAGTTGCCAGATCCTCTCGAGTAGAAATGAATTTCCTTACATTGGTGAAATCACAGAACTGGACCAAAACCCAAACCAAACCCTGATAGATAGCTGATGAAGATTAGGTTGGATTGTCTGGAATGGATGGAAGGAGCAAGAAATGGGGCTGGTGATAGAGTCAATAGGGCAGAGAAGAAATAAATCATGGTATTGTCCTTTTTAGTGACTGAATGCAGATGACCAATTATATTCTGATTTAGCTCAGTCTGGTAGCATTAACAAGGAAAGGATTGGTTATAGCTTGGCACTGGGACAGTCATGGACAGCCCACAGATACACTAGACCAGGAATGGTCAAAGGTAATGGGACCTGGGTACTCAGCACACAAACTAGCTAGCGAGACTCTCTATAATTTCAACTAAGTCAGAAGTGAACTGAAGGTGCCTGGTTTAGGACAAGCAGATTAGTGTAAACCCCATGAATGTTCCTTTGTTCTGTGCCCAGGGCAGGGCTTTGGAACTAAACACTTCCTCCCACTCAGTAAACCTTTGTGAGGCCCCCACCCCCAGGCTGCTTAGATAACAGTCTAAAATGGGTCAATTCTAATTTTCTCACTCACGGTTTCCGGAGGATCATCCTCATATGTGCATCAGGTCCCATCTGTGACAGCAGCAGCATGGTGTCCTGCAGCTCCTCATCACATTCCTTCTTTTCTTCCTCCGTTGGCAAAGGGGCATCTTCGTGCTCGTCATCCAGAAATCGGTAAAACAAATATTTATCTTGGAAATGGTGTTCCTGGTCCACTAAGGGCAACATGGAAAAGCGGGATATCTCCCGTTACACACCTGACTCACAGATCCTGGCTGCTCTCTGCAGGGACACACTGGGTGGCTGTTGCAATTCAATAAAAACAAACAAAACGTCCCAAGCAAGCAGAACCAAATGGCAGCTAAATGATGAGGCTGATACACCCTTCTCATGTCTGCCTTGCCCAGTGTTTTGCAGCTGGAATGCATTACCTCCTATGTGCAGTCATGAGGACCATCTCCATCCTACTCTGACACACCTCTCTCAAGGGATTTCCCTAAAATTCCCTTTAGGAACACTTGCCAAATTCTGTAAAGCAAAAGAATGACTGGTAGCTGAGCTCTGATGGTGCTGACCAGTTTGTCCAATAAGAACTGAGTCTCCTTTGGGTATACAAAAAGTAGTAAAAGGTACAATTGTCCTGTCAGGAATCACTCTATTTAAAGCATACTAAACTATGATCTGTAATTTTTCAAGTACTTCCTCCAGAGTAGATTATTTTTCTTAATTTCTCTTCCTGATGCGTTTTACATTTGTATAAATATTTTCAAGTAAAAATTACAAAGTAGGTCACATTCCTAGAAGGCCCCTATGGAAGAATTCCCTCAGTTTAAGCTCTGAGAAAAGGCAGGGAGGGGAATTCTTTCTGCCTTGAAGACCAACAAAAGATTTGGATCTTGTTTGAGAGTAAGCCCAAGAGACTTCATCACTTACACATCAAGCATATTTCAGACCCTGCCTGATAGTGCCCCAGCACTGTTGGATAATAAAGATTAGGTTTACAAATCATCCCCAGGCACTTTGGTGTTTCTGAATGGGCTTACTCAATGTTTGATCAGTTTATTGAAAATTTCTTAGCACAAATCTCACTACCTCACAGCAGTACCACCCCTCCCCCAGTCACCAAATGCCCATCATCCTTGAAAATTGATCACATGGGCATAGGAGCCCTGGGTAGAATGTGTTGCTTTGACAAAAGGTTTATGATTTTCAATGAGGTCATACAGTAGGTCCACAAATGGATTCTCTTACACAATGCTGCATTTAAAAGGCAGTTTTAAAATTCATTACCTACTTTTATGTCATCAGCCCAACAGCACATTTCATGCTCTTCAGTTGGTCCTACATCAGGATAGCTGTACAACGCTCACAACATAATCACACTATCAATGGACCATGAATACAAACTAATAAACATAACTGGAACTGATGCCCTTGGGTTACAGTTTCATTTTCCTTTCATTTATTCTCCTGAGTTAGGAAGGGATAATGATGGAACTCAGCAATCAATATTATCCAGTGACTGAACTTGTATTCCTAAAAGAAGATGTTAGTTCTGCTGGGTCCCTAATAGGATCATAATTCTTTTTTTTCCCTTCCCATTTGGGAGATCTATATAAACTCTGATCGGCAATGTAGGATATATTGTGGATTTTCCAGTAACTCAGTTTTAATTTTACCATGATTGAGAACACCTTCTTCTAAGAGAACTTGCCACATGCCCACCGCCTGTGCCCGGGAATGAACACATGGAGTTTGTTGTATCATCCAGTCGACCAATTCTGTTCCCACACAGCATTGCCTAGGGGGAGGCAAATGAATGCATCAATTAAATACCATTCACCAAACATTTATTAGGCAGCTACTGTGTACAAGGGAAGAGGTAGCATGGTCTGGTGGACATAAAACTGGTCTCAGAATTAGAAAGACTTAGGTTCAAGGTTAGCCACTACATGTATTGTCTTTTTGACCCAGGGCAAAACAGTCGCTGAACTGCATTGGTAGAGGGACTTTATTTACTAGGAGGAGCCTACAGCAATAAAATCATGGGTCTAGACACCTTCACTACCCTGTACCCCAATGTACTTGGTATTATGCTAAGAACTAGGAATAGAGAGAAAAGCATACTAACGCTTGTGCTCAAGTTTATCTTCTATTAGAGGAAAATAGCAGTTATACAGACAAACCAACATTAAGTATATAGAAGTGTGTATACACACATGTATACAAATACATAAACATGTACAAAATACACACAAATATATAATATACTCATTTTTTAAGTACACGTGTATAGATATAAGTACATATATGGAGAGACATATACTATATGCATACACGTATATGTATTTAGAGCATAAACTTAAAATGGATATGTGGATATATACATATATGTATGTGTATCATGTATATGTGTATGCATATACATATATGCACACAGATATACACAAAGCTCCAAAGTCTTAGTGCAGTTTTAACCTTTGATAACTTTAATAATATTTAAAAATAATTTAATAATAAGCTTTAATAGCTTAAAATTCACTAAGACTTTTGGGACATCCCACATACACATACAAAATACAAAGAAGTAGAGAGAATTAACACTGGGCAGGGATCAAGAAAGGCTTCGTGTAGGAGACGATCCTTGATCTGAGCCTCAAAGCGGGGGTAGAGATTCTAAGAGACAATGGAAAGAAGGCAGATCCCATTAGATTTTGAGTTCCTTGAGGGCCAGGACTGTCTTTTCTCTCTCCCTCTCTCTCTCCGTTTAATCTTCAGTGCTTGGTATGGTGTCTGGCACATAGCAGGTGCTTAATAAATGCTTACTGACTGAGAAATTGACAGATCATTCCAGGCACAGGCCTGTTGGACAATCTACGCAAAGACATAGAGGTAAGCAATTGAATGTTGCCTATGGGGAATATTAAGTAGGCCTGATAAGTAGAAATAAGGAGAAATCAGCTTAAAATAAGTTAGTAAAGGGAAGTCCTTCCTTCTCTTCACTCTATCACTTTAAATTACTAGGATGGATAAGTTCAGTGTGATGAATCTCAGTTTCTGAAACTCTCACTAACCAGACTCCCATCCCCAACTCAAGGCAATTATGAGAAAGCCCTGGAAATAATAGCACAGGCTGAGGGAAACAATATGAAGATCCTGCTCTGTTCTGAAACTTAAGGACAGCCAAAGAAGCACTATTATCTGGTAGGCTAATTGCTAAGCTAATCTGGGAGGAACCAGATACTTGGACGAGTCCTAGTAAAGTTCTAGGTAAAATGGAAGCAGCCAAAGTGCTGATTTACTTCACCTGGGAAGAACCTAGGATGAAAGAGCGAAGGTTTGCAAAGCCCCGTGAGCTGCTCAGATGAAAGATGTTGTACAAGTAAAATTATGCAGCACTTTATGTTTTCAAGTAATAGTACTTGTCTTCCTCACAGGGGGGTGTTGGGAGAAACAAGTAATTAGAGATGATGCAAATCACTTTGAAAAAAAAAGTTCTGTGTAATGAGGATTGCCACTTTTACAGTGCCTTTCATCAGAAGAGCTCCAAACAGCTTCTGTACCATTTATTTACTCATTAATTACTAGAATATCCCTCTCTCATAAATAGGAAGTACAAATGGGCCAGCTCCCCAGCTTCCTGCACCAATATTGGTAAGAAATGCAGGGATCACTTGTGGGGCTACTGGGAACTCCAGAGGCTTTTCTGCCATCAGTGGCCAAGAGAAACCAAAATGAATGTTGGTCCTACTGATCATCCCAGTGGACATTAGAATAAAAGAGATAATCAGAGAGCACTTGGATGCCTAGCTACTATGGTTGGACCACTGTCTATCTGTACTGAAGTATCTCAAGCAAGCCTCAAGAATGTTTGGAAGTCACCCTTGGGAATGAGATGTGTTGCATTGGCATGGGACAGCTCTGACTTCTTCACTATGCTCCAGGAAGCTCATTATTGGAAAAATCTCATCATCCTTCAAGATCCCATTAGCCTTGGCATTCCACCTTATCACTACCTTCTGCCTGTCATATTGAAGGGTGGAGCCATGAATTCTAAAACTGCCAGGGAGCTAGCTTCAGGACATCTGATTTCTCACCCAGCAGCAATACTCTGGTACATCTCTAGCTTCTCCATCATGCTCTTCACAGCCCCACCACCTTGCTTTTCAGCTTCCTTTTGTGTATTTTTTTCCCTGCTATTAGATTATAAGCTCCTTGAAGGCAGAAACTGTCTTTCTATTTTTGTTTTTTTATCCCCAGTACTTAACACAATGAATACCAAATAGTAGGTGCTTAATAAATGTTTACTGACTATTGCCTAGATGTGACTAGAAAATGTGCAGGCCCAAAAGAGGTTCACTGATTTCCCTGGACTACATTCCCTAAGGGGGATGGGTCAGTTTCAAGATCCCACCAGGGCTTTTGATTTATCTATGATAAAGTCCCAGGAGAGGGTTATGCAAATAACCAGTTAGAACTAGGGAAAAGAATTCTAGGCTGGCAGTTAGAACTGTATTTACCACTAACTAGTAGCATGACCTTTAGAGAATCACCAAGCTTCTCTAGCTCCCAGGTATATCATCTTTGTTTACAATGTTTAAGGTTGTTTAAGACATTCTCTATGGTCCTTTCCAGTCCTAGCGGCCTATATAGTTTTATGAATTTGTATAGAAACCCTCAGCACTACAAACTTGAAAGCAGTTCAGATCCAGAGAGGGATTCTTGGGAAGGCTAATTGCATTAATGGGCATTAATAGGTAATTCTTTCACTAGTCCAACTTATCCAGTCTTAAATGCTTAGTTTTTAGCACAACAGAATCAATTTCAAAGTAAATCAGCTCAAGAATTAGTGTTGGGCAGCCTTGTTGTTGTTCGGTCACGTCCAACTCTATGTGACTCCATTTGGGGTTTTCTTGGCAGAGATACTAGAGTGGTTTGCCATTTTCTTCTCCAGTTCATTCTACAGATGAGGAAACTGAGGCAAAATGGGTTAAGTGACTTTCCCAGGGTCACATAGCTAATAAATATCTGAGGTCAGATTTGAACTCAGGAAGATGTGTCTTCCTGACTCCAAGCCCAGCTCTCTATCCACTATACGTCCTAGCTGCCCCTTAAGCAGAGCTTAAGCAGCCTTATGAAGAGCTATAAAAAGGTAGGTATTTGTTTGTTTTTACTGCCCAGAATGAGCACGAAAAATTATACTTGAGACAAAGATCATGAAAGGCAACCTTAATATGAGAGATGATAGGGAAAGACAGAAACTCAGGGACAAGCCTCTACTGCAGCCATGGAAAGGGTGTATGTGACCGGAAGCAGGGGGAGGGCAATGAGAAAGGCACTAGCCCCAGTATGCTGCTGACTGGAAGTGCTGTCATTGACCTATAAATCTAGTGCACTGGGATAAAGCCCTGGTTGCCCTGTCCTAGAGTTTTGCCTTAAAGATATGTGGGCATTCAGAAAGATATTCATTGTGAGAGGCTACCACAGCAATAGCAGTCACAGACTTTACTGGATCTTCAGAGGCAATTCACATACCTGTAAGTCTTTAGATGGTATTTTCGATCTCTTATCATGTGAGGTGCTCTGGAAAGGATAGCATTTCGTAAAATTTTCCCAGCCCTGAGGATCTTCTCTGAAGGAACCTAGATTTTAATTAAGTGGGTGGAAGGATGAAAAATGGGAGAGAGAAAAGGGGATTAAAGAAGAGCAGCAAATTGAACAAATTCAAAAGTTGCTTTCAAATCTGATCTCTTGGCTTTCTATCAAGTGAAAGCCACCCATATACTTACAGTGTCCATCTGGACAGCACATAATAATAAATATATATGAGAGAGAAGCCCTAGATACACACCAAACATCTTTAGCAAGTACATTGATGTTTTCCTCACATAGTCTTTGACATACAGACTACCTCACTAATGTTTACTTTAAATCTTAGACCTTTTAGCTACACAACCCACCTACATTCCATTACCTGGGTAATGGTTTTAGCAGGACGAAGAGGAACGTGAGGTTCTATGAGGGGTGTCTGAAAAATAAAATGTCAAGCAAAAGAAATTTTTAAAAAGTTAATTAAAAATAATTGTGGGCTGGGAGACAGCAAGAAACAGCAATTTCACTAAAACTAAAGAGTTTAATAAGATTAAAAAAAAAATAACAGTCTGAGATAATTCCTGCCTGGGAAACATGCATGCTGTGGGCATTCAAAGGGCAAAATTAGACTATTTTATTTGCCAAGATTTAAATAGAAATTATATAAAACATGGAAAACCAAACAAACAAGAATGATTGGATGTTGGTACGTTTAAAGTAATGGCAATGAATGCCCACTCAGAACGTGGCAAACATCAAAGTAGAATAAAAAGAAAAACAAGATAAACATAAAAATAGATTAAAATGCCAAGCCCCAAGGAAATAAATATCGATGGATTTAGGGAGGAAAAGCAATTTCCTTCTCTTTCCAGAAATTCAAATTTCTAGAAACAGGGAATTCTTATGAAGTTTCTCAAGGGATATGAGTCCTCAAATTCCTAGAACCCACTGAAACAGCTTTTATAATCATAACACCTCAAATACACATGATACAATTTTCTAAACATTTTTTATCTCAGTTCATCCTCACAAGAACCCTGTGAGATATCTGGAATAGATAGTATTATTACTATTTTACAGTTGAAAAAAACTGAGTCTCTCAGAGGTTAAGTGAGGGCTGAGATTAGAACCCAGGTCTTTTGATTCTTACAACAGAGCTCATTTCACTACCCTCTGCCATCTGATCAAAGAAGAGCAAAGTATAGTCAGTCAAAGGTCCATCAAGACCCATCAGCTCAGTCCTGTGTCTGCCCCTTCCAGAAAGAAATGAAACACTAGCAATTAAGCTGCATTCAAAAAATTATTTCTTACAGCAAAGCCCTCTCTGCACAATTGGAAATCATTCAAATGAAAATGAATTGGTAAGCCTTTCTCCTAGGCCTAACAAGAGAAATATATTACCAGTGGAGGGGAATAAAGGTCATGATGAGTTATAAATGCATCAGGGGTAGCTTTCCATATACATATACACCAGTAAATTTTGTGTATGCTGATCCAGCATTAGTAAGATCAAGGGGAAGGGAAATGAGGAATATAGGGAGAAAACAGGGATGAAGGTCAAAGGTTTATTTGAAGTGACTGAATTCCCACTCAGCTTATTTATTTTAAAAATTTCATCACCGTGTTAACATGCCCTTGTATAACCTGTGTTCTGAAAGTCAGCTGTTCAAAAAATTCAACTCAAAAAACATCAAGTGACCACTAGTTGTAAAGCTTTGTTTTAAGTAGGCAAGAGTTTAGAATATAAAAAAAGAAAAATAACACAGTATCTGCCCTCAAGGAGCTTACAGTCTAGTACTTACTATCTCTAGTAGAGGAGATAAGACACATACACACATAAAAATACCATAATAACAATAGCCAGTACTTTACATACTATCCTATTTTATCCTCACAACAACATTATGAGGTAGGTAATATTATTAGCCTCATTTTACAGATGAGAAAACTAAGTCTGAGAAAGATTAAATGTGTCCAGGGTCACACAACTGTTAACTGTCTAAGGCAGGATTTTAACTTGGGTCTTCCTACGTCAAAGGTTAGTAGTATTCCATCCACACATTAGAAAATGTTAAGGGACAGATTTATCAGTGTGGCTTGAAAGATTCAAGGAGGAAGGAGTGGTTTCTGGCTAGAGAGATCAGTGAACGTTTCATGGAGAAGGTAGCACCTGAACGAGACATTGAAGGACAAAGATTTTTTAGAGCTGGAAATGTAGATGCAGGTGGGAGAGTACAGTGTCAATTCCAGACGTATGCAAACATATGCAAGTGGAAGACAAGATTAGAATTAGAAGACAGACTGTCCTGTTTGCCCAGAGCGTGATGTGCATGAAGGAAAGTATGAGAAAAGTAACTAGATTGCAACTAGATTGTGGAGGGTCTTGAATGCTAGCTACAGAGTTTCTAAAATTTTGTTCAATAGACAATGAAGTAAAACCTGGGGTGGAAGTCAATGAGGGCTTCAGAGCAGGGGACTGACTTGACTACGTCTATTCATTTGGAAACTCTTTTTTGGTATCAGTGTGAAGCATGGATTGGAGAGGAGAGAGATTGGAGAAAGATAGATGAATTAACAGACTATTAAAATAATTTAATAAGAGAAAGTAAGGGTCTGTTTTTTCAGTTTGTTGTTGTTGTTTTTGGTGAGGCAATTGGGGTTAAGTGACTTGCCCAGAGTCACCCAGCTAGTAAAGGGCTGGATTTGAACTCAGGTTCTCCTAGTTCTAAGGCCAGTGCATTATTATCCATTGTATAATCTGACTGCCCCAGAAATAAGGGTCTGAAGTAGGGTGGTTGCAGGGGGAGTGGAATAAAGATTATTAATAGGAGAGATAATGCCAAGATAGAACAAGCAGGGTTTGGTAACTGATTGAACATGAGGGACATGGAAGCCTGGTTGACAGGGAATTAATCAATCAACTTACAAGCATCTACGAGGTGCCAGATAGTGTGTTAGGTAGTGGAGAAGGTAGAAGTGAAACAATCTTAACTCTTGGAGAGCTTATCAGGGGAGATAGCACATGCATTTACATAAAAAATAAGGTACCTGGGGGGGAAGAGGATGGGAGCAGGAAAGATCTGGAAGGCTTCATGTAGAAAAGAAGGTGATGCTGGAGCTAAGTTTTTAAAGAAACTAGCTACTCCAAGATGTAGAGATAAGAAGTACATTCCAAGCATGAGAGGTAGCTGGTACAAAGGCATGGAGATAGGAAAGAGGAGATGGAATGGAATGGGTGAAGAGAACAAGAAGGCCAAAATGGCAAAGAATATATTAAGAATAATTTATAATAAAGCTGGAAAGGGAGATTGGAACCAGGCTGTGAAGGGTTTTAAATGCCAAAGAGAGGTCTTGGTATTAATCCAAGTGATAATAGAGAACAACTGGAAAGATTGGAGGAAGGACAAGTTTGGGAGGCAAGATGAAGAGTTCAGTTTTGAACATGTTGAGTTTGAGGTGTCCGTGGGACATTCAAGTGAAAATGTAACAGTGTGGAAAGTCCTAATTAGGCCCATCAATGCTAAGTAACTCCTTTGTCCTTAAACGTCTCCGGGCAAGAATAACTGCTGCCTTTTTGAAAAGTAATAAATAAATAACTTGTATCAGGTAACTATAGCTTCCTATCCTTAGCACGTCAATGGCCAAAGTCAGTCTTTACAAATCTCCTCCATGCTGACCCTTCCTCCCAGTGCTAAGAACTTCAAGAATTAGACTTCCTTTTGCCCTCCATATTTAAAGATATTACTATGGTGTTCTTATTGTTGGATAGCGGCATGCCTGAAGAGTCCAAAACAGAGACTGTGGAATTAAAACATGTCAACATGCACATAAGCAACAACAGTATAAGTTAGAAATGTTTTCTTCTTCTTTAAAGGGCAGCTGGGCATTTTGAATATGACCAGTGAGGTTACCAGAATGTTTTAATTCTTGGTTCGTTTTTTTCAGGAGTATAAAGAAGCTGTAGCCAGCTATAAGAGTCATAACTAGGAATTCTGGCACCAATGGCAAATTTGGGAGGGGAGCAGAGGAGGAACCTCACAGATACCCCAGGACAGAGATCCCAGGAGGCCCCCCCATAGGCAGAAACTCCAAGACACTGCTTCTGGAAATATTGCTGAAGGTTAAGAGCAGGGAACAATTGGGGAAAGCTCACCTCAGAGGATCAAAGGTGTTAGCATCCCACTTCACCCAGTAATGAATCAATGAATCAGTCACTCAACAAATCAACAAGCATTTATTAAGCACCTACTATGTCTTCCCCCAATTCTACCTTGGCCATCACTTCCTGGCTTCTTTCTAGACTCAGTTGAAATCAGACTTTGTAGGGGAGGCCTTTCTCAATGTCCCTCCCCCAACTGACTAGTGCCTTCCCTCTGAGATCACTTTCCATTTCCTCTTTATATATCTTGAATGTATATAGTTTTTTTTTACATGTTGTCTTCATTAGAATTTGAGCTTCCTGAGCACAGGGACTATTTTTACCTTTCTTCATATCTTCGGCACTCACTGGGCACATAGTAAGTGCTTTATAAATGCCAGTTGACTGACCAAACAACCAAATGCAGGGAAAGTCCTGTCTGGATTATTTGTAGAATGTGTAGCTTTTGTATAATAATGCAAATAACCTACACTATAAAGTTAGTTTGTTGTGTTGGCATGTACCTACAGTTTCTGGAAACTCCAAAGAGCAAAAAAGTCCCAAGAGCAGGTGTTTAAAAGGTAAGTTCCAACATGCTGTTAAGTTCTTCATTCCTTTGATAGCATCATAGTTTCTTAAAGAGAAAACATCAAAGTGTACTTTCAAGCTTGGTAGTCCTGGGCACCAGTATTGCCCGCATGGGAGCCTGGACTAGCTGCTGGGAGGCAGCCGTCTCAGCATCCTTTGACTCTAAGCTTTTATTCTCAGGGTCACTTGTCAGTGGGGCATGATCTGTTGGGCTTCTCCACAGAACTGCACAGAAATCCTCCTGGCCTATCAATTTTTTGCCTTAATCTTACAAATGCATCATCATCAAAATCAAGCCCATACACCAGCTTGGTCTGAGCCTGACCCTCTTTTGTCACTTGAAATAGCAAAGCACTTGGATTCATAATAAAAATAGGTCACATCTATAAAATACTTTAAAGTTTACAAAGCACTTTTACTTTCCCTGTGAGTTAGGTAGCGCATTATTTTCTTCATTGTAGAGTTGAGCGAACTGATGCTCAAGAGGGGTCAAGTGACTTGTCCAAGGTTATACAGTTAGTAAGTGGCAAAGCCAGCACTTGAGCCCAGGTTTTTCTGACTAGCAGGTCCAGTGATCTTTCCAGCATCCCATGCTGACACAGAACATAAGAAATGAAAGGAAACTTAGCTATCGTCTAGTGCAACGCTCTTTTTTTTATGAAGGAGGGAAGTGACAAGTTCACACTATGAGTTAGTAGTAGAGAGGGAAC